ACGTTTCTGGCGCGCCTTTCGGCGACTGAAACGTGCAAGTACTTAAGTGCTGCAGGGTGGAAATACGCATGGAAAGAAAATGCGTGTACTCTGGACCCCAGATGGGGTCTTCCACCCTCGCCATACCTGGCCTAGGTGGGCGTCGCAGGGCAAAGCTGGGAAAACTCCTGGCGGAAATTGGATTGTCCAGTTTGCTAAATACTGAGGGTCTTGAGAACATGTCCTGATGAAATAAAATTTTCCTTCTTTCCGTACGTTAATCTGCTTGTCATACGTGGGCTTCCTCTGTGATGGACAAATAGTATATTTTTTCAAAAGTATGTTCCTAAGTTTGGTCATAATTGAACAGAGTTCCTTTTGATTTATTGCAAGTTTGAACCCAAGCAGGACCCTGCTGTGCCCTCCTGGGTACAGAAGCCTTTCTGAGTCCCCAGCAACTTTGTAGGAAAAAAGTCTTCAACCTTCTGGCCTTTCTTGAGTTTCAAATGGCAGTTTTAAACAATTACTAATCGGGGAAGAGAAGCAATGCAGAAACAAAGCCGGAGCAGTCAAGAAACAACAGTGCAGCTGTGAAGCGTGTGACCTGTCCCCCTCAAGGGATATTCAAACAGCATCTTTGAGTTCTTTGGAGGAACTAAGGCCACCCCATCTGACCCAGGTGGAGGCTGAGCGCAAGATTCCTAAACACCACTCTGTTACGTCACCACCAGCCAAAGTCACGCGCCCTGCAGCCCCACCCCTACCCCCAATTTTGCCAAGAAAACTCTTCCCTGAAAACCACTGGGGAGTTGGAGCCTTTAGAGTACAAGCTACCGGTTCTCCAAGTTCAGCGTTTGCAGTGAACCCTTATCTGCTCCCAACCCTGATACTTTGTCTTATTTGGCCTCACTGTGCATCTGGCACATAAACTTGTGTTCGCCGTGACTTTCTATGTAAAAATCCTTGAACTCCAAACGCTAACGCTAATCATATGATTATACAATGAACTGATAACTGCCAACTACAAATTGTCACTTGCCACCCGCCTGTACAAGGATAGAATCACGTTGGCACTTGCCACCTACCTCTGCTTGGATTAAATCACAAGCCGCTGCAGCCACTGACCTCCAACACACCCTGAAAAGAGTTCAGGGTGGAAATCAGGAATGAGGCACTCTGTGCTCTGGGAAAACTGGTAGAACTGGCCTTCAGATAGTTAAATGTTTTCAGAAGAAGATTTTATGAGCCCGAATTCTTGTCTCCTCATATCTGGAAAAGCACTAAAGTCACTAACAGCAACGTCTGCTCCTCTTGACTAGTTGCAAACCTCTACCTGAATGTGTGCCTGATCGTATGGAGACAGGAAGGGGGCAGGGCACAGCCATTCAAGGAAGGCCACAGCAATTAACATCAAAATGGTGAAAGATTCAACCCCCAGGAGGCCTTGAGGCTCAGGATGATGAGAGGTTTAACTTCTAGCAGATCTTGAGCTTCATTACACGCCCATTGTAATATATTAACATGGTGAATAATGCGCTCGCAGGCACCACGGCAGTCCCGAGGCTGGCCACAAAAGGTCAAAGAATGGGAAATGGCCAACTTCCTGGGAATCCCAGCCCCTTCCCCTTAGATTGTTCCTTCCACTTATCAGCATATGAAACCACCACGCCCATAAAAATCAACAACACAGCGCCTCAAGGCTGCCCCTCTCTCTCCCTCTTCGGAGATGGCTGGAGTGTGTACCTGCTTTTACTCTGAGCACCCAACCCCCACACCTCGTGGCGTTTCTCTTGCCTTTCAATGTATCTCTCTGAATTAATCTACCTTTACTCAAGTGTGGCTGGCTCTTGAATTCTTTCCTGCGTGAAGCCAAGGACCCACGCTTGGCAGGGCATGTCCCAGGGGCTCAACTGAAGCCTGAAATAAAACTTAACCCACAACTCTTGTTGACAAGAGATCAGCCCCCTTTCAAGACGAGCCAAATAACCCAGAGACAAGGGCTTGGAGCTTAGAAGGAAAGAGGCGATTTTACTGCTTTGTCGGGCTAGTGCCTTCAAAACTGAGCCCACCTTGGGGATGGGGTGGGTGGTTTATACAGCCATAGCTCAAACAATAAAGCATCCATAACAAGCAACAGAATCATTTTCTCATCAGAAGACACAGAACATGATGCCTCCAGGCGACCAACTCTATAGAGGCCAGCGGTTAGATCTCTTTATCTCGTAAGCACTCAAGGCGTGGTCCTCTGGTAATTCAGACTGTTTTCTAAGGTTACAGTCCTGTGACCTCCTTGGAGAAGGACCCAGAGACCAAGCATGATCATTACTTTTAATGACTGGAATAAACTAGAAACAATAAGATCAATAGCTGTAGTTTTAGCAATGGTTCTGGAACTCTGAGTAGCAACCGGTCAGTCAGGTCAGTTGACCTTTTTAAGGGCGAGCAGAAGAATAAGCCATCTGTCAGCCTAAGTGCAGCCATTTATTGATTCTCCTTCACTCTCACGTCGTGCGATTTTTATTTAGGTCAACATCACCCAACCATGTTTGTTTTATGCAAACTAGATGGCCCTCCTCATGACTGAAGTCTAGCAAAATATTCAATCTGCTTTGCAACGTTTTTTCGTGCACCTTCAATTCTGAGCTGAACAAGGCTGTCAAGAACACACTGTTCCTTCAATGCTTAATGGAGTATTTCCTGTGTTTTTTGTTGTATATAAATGTATTTCAACATTGTGTTTTTAATTATACAAAAAACACACGGTCCTAATTAGGGTCCCTCTCTCTGCTAACACTCAAACACTACTCTTTTGATTAAACTGACCTTGGGTTTTTGTATAATTTAAAGCACAATGTTGAAATATATTTATATACGATAAAGAAAACAGTAAAATTTCATTATTCATTATTCAGTGCAGACCACTACATGAATACATTTTTCAAAAAGGAAGCCATTCTTTTTTTCTGCATATTTACAACTTGTTTGGACCCTTCATTAGGGTATAATCATGCAGTCAGGTCGAACTATTTAGAACTACATCCCACTGTTTCTTGCCTACCTGGTATTTTAGCGGAGGGGAATTACTTTTATTTAATAAAAACCCTTGTCATGGATGTTTAGTTTGTTCCAATTTTCATTACTGTAAACGTGTAGTAAATATTTGCATCTATTCTTCTTTGCATATTGGCATTTTCCTCTGGGATACAAATACCACAGTCTAGAATTGCTACATTAAAATAGATGTTGGTAGATGTTAACAACCTGCCTTCCAAAAGGCTGTGCTAGTTTATGCTCCCACTAGGATTTGTTACAGAAAAAGCTATTCTGACACTTACTACAATGGTTAAGAAAGACTTTATTCAAGACGGTTGCAGTAGGGCAGAGAGGAAAACTCAACTCCGAATACAGCAGAGAAAGCTGGGGACTTACAGCTAATGAGCCGAGTGAGCGAATACATGGATGGAAAATGATTAGCGGGAGACGTCAAATGCAGCAGGATTCTTACTAAGCCGACCTAACAGGATTCTTGCTGAAGACAGTCCGAGGAATTAGACGTCAAAGGTGAGAGATGATGGCAGCATTCTTGCTAAAACTGGACTATGTACGTCGGTCAAGGATGAAAAGGATATGGAATGCCAAGGTGAGAGCCTCGTCAGAAAGAGGGCTTAGAGGAGCCTGAGTAACTTTTGATCAAGAGAGGAGTCTTGGTCACATGGCATGAGAGTTCCACTTCCCCCATCCCTAGTCCAACATTGGACTTCATCAT